AGTTGTGATTATTATTTGTCAACAAAAACATAGTATCCACCATTAACATAATTAGAACGCTGGCAATATCGAGGCATCCGCAAAGGAGGCCATATGCCAATAGAGACCGATCAATTCGGTCCAATCAACAACGGTATCATATAAAAACAATTATACCATCTGAGTGAGATAGCCATAGTTTGGTAGACTAGTATTTATACTGAGGTGATGATTTAAGGTGGAATGAAAATTTGGACCACTACCCGATTTCAGCCGGCGACCACTAGGATTCCCGCCTGATGCTCTACCAACGGAGCTAAGAGGTTCGACTGCTAACCAGATTTTTATTTTACTTTCATCACAAGTGAGGTTTTGCCTGATTGTCATGTGAATTCGCGATGCGTTACTACCGTTTGCTTGTATTCCCTCTCTCTAATTTGGATTAAGATAAGGTGTCCTAACTAGGCAGTCAGTGTGAATACGAACCAGTGGTAGTAACGCGTCACGAATTCACATGGAAGTCGGGCAGTTGAACTATGAAGCTGATTTGGTAGAGCATCGGACCAGAACCCTGATAGTGCCTGGTTCGAATTCAACTGTAGTCCAAATTTATATCTCATCTTTGATCGTCACCCCAGCTATAATGATTTTGTCGGAATAATGTTTACCAAATAGGTGAAATAACACTGGAAGCTGATCAAATTGAAGGCGATTATCATAACAATAATAATGATGAAGGAAGCATATTAAGGTTAGATCAACAAATAGACGGAGAGGAAACTAATGGGAGTGAAAAAATGTTATGGTCATGATCAAAACATTGAGTTTACATACTTCTTTTCTACGGACAGATCAAGTTTTAGTTGATGAATAGCTAAGGCCTCCGAATTTCATAAACAAATTTAAAGTCATGTTGAGTGATGAGAATCAACCAAATGTTGTAGAGTCGAACGTGTAACAGACTTTCTTTTATCTGTATGAGAACAAGCTGGAAAATGGTGTCGTATATGTGTAGGAAACATTCTCTGCCGACAACCTATGTATCTTGTACAAATGCCTACGTAATCATCCGTTTTATTAATAATTATCGTCATCATATAGTGTTTAGTTTTCCTCACGGGATATAATGTTTCAATCATCATATATATTGAGATAGTGGAGAATATTTGTAGCTCAGGTGTATGGTCTTGGTTGTATTGTGTTATCTGAGCTGGGTTGTTTAATCGTAAGGCTTTCATTGTCTTTCTAGACGGTGACATTATCCACAGCACTAACATCAGTATGAAGTGAGCTGTCACTATCTCTCCGTCAGTGATTTAGCAGCTCCTCTTGGTGAACTGGTCTGTGATTGGTTGTTTCCTTTGATTGTTGTTTAATTGACTGATTGCATAGATTTTCCTGTTGGCTGTTTCTCTGCTTGACCCCTCACCTTTCTGTCGTTTATTACTTTCCTCATTGGTTGATAGATTGCTGATTGACCTGAATGCCAAGCTTCTAGGAATTCTCTGATATTCTTTGTTTCCTCTCCATCCTACAATTCTACATTGTCAAAATTAAATTCATGTCCGCAATTATCCATATGCATTGAAATGAGTGATGAAATGTTGTGCGTGACGTCTAATAGCCAATTCGTGTTCATGGAAATGACGAAGGCGAAGAGGGCGACCACTCCCTGTCAAATGTAGTCTTGACTACAGTTATTCCAGTTGATTTTGTAAATGATATTCGGTTTGTCTTCTTTGCTTGTTGCATCCTTTGGTCTGCATAATAGTGTTTGGAGGGAATTTGTTGGTTTATGAGCCACACCAATTCCAAGTCGTTTTACTCAGCAATCTTGTCGGGATTTCTGATATATTCTTTATGTATGATAGGATGATGCATTTATTGATTTCTGTGGATTACCTTGTAGTTGATGATGTATGGGATAAGCATGTTGTGATAAAGTTTTGTGGGTAGTTGTTCTTCTTTACGATGGACATCAAGTAATTTCTTTCGTTTCTCCATGAAGTTGTTGTGCTGCAGTATGTTCTCACTCTTTTGGACAGAGTCTACACGCAACTAGTTGTATGCATTGTTGGTTTGCTGATAATGTAGTTGAGGATTTGATGAGTGTGTGTTGGCTTCCTGTACACTTGGGTTTCAGCTTTCTAGCATTTATTCTACTGACTGAAACTTCCAGGAGTGGTAGTTGGCTGTTTGACTCTTCTCCATTGTGAATTTGTTATCACTGTGAGTGTTCTCTATATCACCATTTATAATGATGACAAACGTAGCGTCCACATAGGGAATCCACACTTTTGGTTTAATCACAGGTAGAATGGTGATTCCAGTCTCTGCATCACTGCTTCTGCAATTAGTCCGGATATCGGTGATCCTATTGGAGTTCCTTTCATCTGTTTGTATATCTTGTCGTTGAATTGGAAGTATGTTCAGACAAAGGTTAATGAGTTTCACCAGATTTGAACATTTGAGTATTGTGCGTTCTGAGAGGCTTGTGTCTTTATTGAGCATAAGGGACATAGTTTCCTTGGCCAATTGGGTTCGACTGATATGTATAGTTCTGTGACATCGAAGGATACTATTAATTTATCGCTTTCTATGTTAGTGCTTTTGAACTTGATGGAATGTCTGCATGATTGAACGAGGTGTTTCAGTTTTCTCGAAAGTTCTCTTGATATGTTGTATGTTGGAGTTCCCGGAAGTGAGACAATTGGTCATAGATGGATGTCTGGTTTATGTATTTTTGGTCTGTCGTAGAACCGAGGAAGGATAGGTCCATTCGATTTCATTCTCTGTTTGTCTTGCTTTGTTATTTATTTTGCTTTGAAGAGTTTACTCAAGGCTTTATTGATCTGGTTGTCGAGCTTCTTGATAGGGTTGGTTTCAAGTACACCTTGAAAATAAATTTGTTGAAAAAAGTGTCTCTTTACTGAATATCTTGTTCTATCCCTTCTTTTCTGTTTATAGTAACACCTGATGTTGTTAAAATATGTGCAGGGTTTCGAAAGTTAATCTTTCTTGATACGAATGAAAACCTTTTTCCAATATGTCTAACTATACGTGTCCTCTTTTGATTGCATGTACAGCTGCATTGCTGATCACTTTTCTAAATGTATTGAATTCATCTTGATTCCTCGATGGATGTTTCATACATAACCTGTATTCATTTAGCCTAACTTTTAAGGGTCTAAAATTTTCTCCAGTATAATTAGCCACGTATTCCAAACATTTAATTTTGTAGACATAATTGTTGTGCATCATCTTAAGACTTTAATACCATGCAAAGCGTACGCTCTTTTAATCTGTTCCGAAGTACCTTTCCGATATGGTAGCTTCATAGATGACGTTCATGATTTTGTTGTATATTTATTACAAGTAGTAGTAGTAGTAGTAGTAGCGCTTACTGTTTTGTTTGTTTGATGGTTAATTTCCAAAAGCTTTTCAGGTACACATTTTCTAGATGATTATCATCTATTGTTAATGTAAGATTCTAGCTTTCATACTGTGGCAACTCGGACCGTTATGCAGGTAATGCCTGGTCCTATGTTGACATCGATGATGATGATGATACTTATCCGACATCTAACTGAAGCTTTAGAACAACAAACATGAGAAAACCAGTAAAGTTTCAGATTTGGACATACTTGCATTGATCAAATTTTCACCCTTCAACAGGTTCTGGAACACAGTCATACCTATCGGTCAACGAATGACACTTACCACATTTCTTCACCTGAAGGCCATATTTGACTCAGTCAACCAAGAGTTGTTGTGGTAGTGTCTGACTTGAAAGGAGTACTGTGCAAGTATATAATACTCATCAAAGCTCTCTACTCCGACTCATTCAATCGTGTAAGGTTTATGAAGAGTTGTCGAGGGACTGATGAGAACTAATGGTATCCACCAGGAATATCCACTGTCACCTTTCCTACTTAACTTCGTCATATACCTACCAGTGGGCATAGTCCTAGGTACATATGACTTCACATGGATTGATCTACCCCCGAAGGTGATCTAGGTGGCTTGAAGTATTCAAACTATTTTGCTCTGCTAGATGAAGACGCTGATACATTTCAGGGTCTTGTGAAGGCTTTGAACAGACCTCAGTATGTTTGGCATGTGTTTCACTGTCAACTGTCAAATGCAAGATGATTCTCCGGAACCTGTCTGTGAATATCCCCAGTTTAATGATAGGGAATGAAGTGGTGGTGAGTTGGCTTTGGCCTGAACCGACTGATTGCTGGCGAAATCTCAGTTCGGATAAACAAGACCCGTTTTGCACCTGCCAACATGAGTCATCCATGGTGCCCACTGGCAAGACATCCAACTATCTGTCAAAGAATAAGTACTTTGTGCCCCAGTCCGTTCTGTCCGGTTATATGGCTGTGAGAAATAGTCAATAAAAGTAGAAGACACAAAGCAATTACTGGGTTTTGATCACAGACGTCTTTGTAGCGTTGGGTGTAATCTACCTGTAGACAATGTTGAGGTCAGTCGAAAGGTACTCGGAAGATATGTAAATCGATTCGTGAAGTTGTGAACCTTCGTCGACTTAATAGCTCAGACATGTAGTGTGATTGTCAGTCCAACACCTGCCCAGATGTGCTATGCTAAAGGAGGTTGGATTAAGTTGGAAGAAAGTCTAAGGTGACCAGACCAAGATGTAGCACCAATCGATGAAGTCTCTCACTGTTAAGCTGTCATGTAAGGAGGTGTAGATTACATGGCTGGGGTTTGTCGCAAGAAAGAAATCAATGGTTGAGGAGTCTTGGTGACATGGCCGAAAATCAGTCACTATGGCACAGATTAATTCACTCCTTGATGTATTCTTAAGCTTGACTATTTGAACTATCCTTTATCTCTTACACTAATTCATCTACTTTGGTATTCGTCTTTTATTATCCACCTGTTCTTTGTGTGCTACTATGAGGCGTGGCAACTTGATCTGATGCGCCTATGTGTGTAGTTTTACGTTGTTTTTTATAATCTGTCATTGTTAATGACATTTATTTCCTATTTAGTGAAGATGATGACGCTGTTGGATATGAACTACATGAAGAATACAAGCTGCCAATCATTCCTTTGAAAATCCCACGGTGAGTGAGAATATTTCAGTTTGACAAATAATTTCAACCGTACTGAATTGCGTTTATGATTTATTTGTGCTGATGTTATATGCTTACTCATCAGTATGTCATTTGGTGATGAGATACAAAAAGTGAGTAATAGGGAAGAAGAAGGATGTTTTTTCCTTGAAATTATCAGCAATCATCTGTCTACTGTAACATTCCATCAGAATAATAGTCTTATTCTCAAGTGTGACTCGCTCAACTAATGTTGAACTTCTAGCGTATATTTTCACTTCAGTGATTTGTGTTGAAAGAACCACTTAAAGGATCTAGATCCCTTAGTTAATTTGCAAGGGATTATTACCAGAAAACTGATTGTGGTGGACAGAATCATGAAACAAACTGTGACAAACGACAAGAGGGGCATACGCTTGCGGTCAGACCGATGAAAAGACCCTAGAAGATTTCTATTTCACCCATGACTATCTATGTCTAATGTCGGACAAACTCGAGGATACACAGGTGAAAACTAACAAGTTGGAATCTTAATAGTACTTTATATTCTACTAGGATTATTAGTTTTCGGGTTTAAAACCATTATGACTCACCTAGAAACGGCTTCATTCAGCGTATCAGATCCCTTATGGATTTCAGAACTTTATTCATAATAGTATCCTCTGGTTTCTGAATTTCTTTATATGATCCTGTTTTTATGTGTTTATTCAATTTGTAGATATGGTCAGATTTATTCATTACAACTATCGAGTGGGATCTATCTGATTTGGCAATTACTACATAAATTTTAAGTTGGAATTGATTATGGATTGACATCCGTCGGAGGAATATCGGAAATCTGGGAACGCTAGATGGCTGTTTAGTTCTAGTGTGTGACTCCCCGGAAGTGTGCACCCATGACCTCTCCAGCGATCAAAATTGAACCATTGGATTCCGATCTAGTAGCTCAGTGGTAACTTGCTCACCACGGAGCCTGAAGGTAATAGGTTCGACCCTTACAGGTCGGGGTAATAAGTGCACACTACTAATAATGAATACCAAGCTCCAGACAGAATTACTATATTATCATTCTGAAGGCACAAAGTGCTCTTACTTTATCTACAATGGTCTTACTCATCGAACTTAACATTATTTCTATTTTGGGAAGACATAGTTTGGTTTCAATTCAATAACCACTACATTGATGGTTAGGCCTTTCGCTAGCACATTTACTTCTGTTGAACTTAGAATTTTAGTTGAAAGATTGACAACCTATTTTGATTTGTGGATTATTAGTGATAATTTCATTACTGTTGACTATATAAGTTTGTTGAACTTCATAAGTTGAGTATGATTGAATTTCTTGCTTTATTGATGTTTTTCTTAAGAAGCTCATAGTCTTCATCACCTACTGTTTGTATCAGTTTACATTTAAATTCCTCGAAATAATTCTTGATATTGTGCAACTTTTCGAATGGTCTACATAGAATTTTTTCTTGAAGAGAAATTTTACTGACGCGTTCTATAGCTGCTTTAATTTCGTCTACTGAAATTGGTGAACATAGATGTAAATAGATTGAGGAATGATTAGATTTCTAAGACTTAGGAATATTGAATATACGATGATTTGTGTGTCCACCTTCTGTCTGTAATTTTGTTGACTAGCCTTCCAATAAGAAATTATTATTATTATTTATCCCTTGGGTTCCTAATGGAACATAGGGCTTCATTAGCACATCTCCAGTGCACTCTATCCTCTGCAATCTTTTGAACCTGGCTCCACAACTGCTCAGAAGCTCTTATTTCTTCCTCACAGGATCACCCCCATCTCACCCTCACCTCAAATGTTCAACTCATCGTTTCCCCTTTGGATTCCGCTCGAATACCTGGCGCATGATGTCCCCGAATGGTCTTCTCAGTGCATCTCCACTTCCTTCCACTGCATATTTGTTGAGCTATAGGTTCTTGCTTTGTTGGTTTGTTGCCACAGTCTCTTGTTGCTTATTCTTTCTGTCCATCTGAGATTCACTTCTATTCCACCTGGTTTCACAGGTTTCTAGCACTTCTATGCTATACCTTCTCATCTCCTTTGCAATCTAGGCAGCCATGCTAGGTTAAGACATAGTGCGGATATTCCATATCCCCATTCTTACTTTTGCTTTCATCGTGAGAAGACACATCGACCAGTTGGCTTCCAGAAGGCTTTCATCAACCAGCCTCATTTCGTCTCTCTGATTCTAGTGAGGAATAAGTTTATTTTTATTTTTTATATCTTCTTTGTGCTTTGAAGTTTGTTTTGCGATTCGATTGATTTTCTGGCTTGGAGTTGTTAGCCCTATAACCAACCTTCCCTCTTCATCCTGACTTAGGACCAGCTAGTGACTAGTGAACTAGTTAATCAGGCGAGGTTTTCCAATAGGAAAACGGTAAGTAAACCATTGAAACTATGGCAGATTTTAATTTCATTTAAGTCTGTTTATCAGAAATGTCATACAGTGTAACATTATCCACTAAATAATAATATTTCACTGTGTGTGATATTTCTAGTAAGAAAAAAGACTGAAAAAGGTATCTTCATGTTGGTAACAAACAGAAGAGTTCAGAACAAACGTTTCATCCACTATCGAACTCCTCAAGTATCTTTCATCCTGTTTGTGAATTGTAATTATTTTAAACACATTTTCGTAAATTATATTCTAGTTCTGTAAGTAAGAGTAATATATATATATATATATATATATATATATATATATATATATATATATATATATATATATATTAAATGTATTCCAGGCAACCGGATCCAATTGCTGTTCATGACTTCGTAACTTGGTTCGAAAAAAATTCAATCTCTCGAAGCAATACTTTACGAGAAGAATTTAAGGTAATCATTCTATGATCATCTCTGTCAGTATTTGTTACATCTATCATTACCATTATCACCGTTATTATCAATATTATTACTTGTCCTTTGAGTTCCTAGCGGAACATAGGGATTCAGTAGCACATCCCCATTCCATTCTCTTCTATACAGTCTCTTCAATCACACTCCACGACTACCCACTACCTTTCATTTCTCATTTACACACAATCTCCTCCATCTCACCCTCACACCTCCAACTCGTCGTTTCCCATTTCCGTTCCACTTGACGGTCAGGTCTGACGTGGTGCGTGATGTCATCAATCGGTCTTCTCAATGTCCGCCTCATCCATCTCCACTTCCCTCTTCTGCATATTTATGGGTGATGCATTCTTCGTTAGTTAGTTGGTTGGTTGTTTGGTTGCCAGAGTGATTTCCTCTCTGCTCATTCTCATTATTCTGGCTATCTCATCTGCAGTGTCAGAATCGAGTGAGCGTAGGTGTCAGGTGTTGATGAATATCTGTGTTTTGTTTGAAAGGGATTTCATGATGCGCCAAGTCTCTCAAGTATCACATAGAAGCAAGTATTGATTTGAACTTGACTGAATTCCAGTTGAAAATCCGTATTCTGTTTGTGCTCTATGCTGAGTTGTGTGCAGTAGATCTCCATACTGATTTCAGATTAATGCAGAAGGGCCTTTCTTACTGTGTTGCGGATCCTGACTGACTTTGATATCCTCATGTGTACCTGTGCCGCTGCTGTAGTTGAGACTATGCTGCCTGGTTGTGTGGGTGGATGAAAGAAACGACTTCATTTAGATTTCTCTTGTTGATTGTGATTTGTGTTTGTAGTAGTCGTAGTAGTAGTAGTAGTTAATGTAGTTGGTTTGTTTGAGTATCTTCATCACCTGTGTCTTCTCTACGTTGAGCTGAAGGAAGTGCCGTGTTCTCTGCCTCGCCTTGCCTTGCCTCTTCTTCCAACTTGTTAGTTTTCACCTGTTTATCTTCGAGTTTGTGCGATATGAGACATTAGACATAAATCATCATGACGGAAATTCAAATGTTTTGGTTGTCTCCATCATTCAAACAGCTGGCGTATGCCTGTCTTCTCATTTATCATGGTTTGTTGCATGATCCAGTCAAGTGCATTCGTCCACTACCAGCAAGATAATCGGTGATAGTAGGCGGCTCCGTTGTCTTACTCCTTCCTGTATTCACTTCATTACACTGGCGTCACTGAGCTTTCCTTTGTGAATCAATTGGTATGTAGCATCTTCATATCGCATATAGCTGTTGAATGGGTTTGATGAAGGTTTGTGACATCAAAACTGTAGTGTTGAATCAGCTCTCTTTGAAATTACTTCTCAGTCGACGTTATCGTATGCCTTTTCACAACCGGTGAAGTTGTGTTAAAGAGTTAGCATCTCTTATACTTCCATTATTTTCAAGTTTATAATATAATAAGGTTTGTTTAATGATGTTTCGTTCAATTTTATACTCTTCTGCCAGATATTCCTAAATCCTAGTTTGTTAAGATGAATACATTGAGAATGAAACAGGGGAATAAGCTTCAAATACCATCTATATTGCTTAGAAATTCATGATGGTGTAATTTCTTAGTGTAAATACTTACAGCAAATGAATGGTTTCTTGAGAATTGTTAGCCTCAAATGAAAGGAACTTTAAGAAAAAGAGACTTTCAAGATATAACCTTGTTCTTCGAAAAATTCTAATGTGACACACTCAATCTAGTATTACACAACTAACAAAAAACTTTGTATTCATCATTGTTGTATTTTCCTTTTTTTTCAGTTATTGGATATTTACTCATATAAACAAGAACAAGCCAAACATTTAACATGCCTAATTGGTCAACGTCCTGAGAATCGATTACGCAATAGGTATCGTAATCTTCTACCATGTAAGTTATGCCATTATCCATCAATTTGTAGAGAAAAAGGAGTAGATAAATTTAAGTTTTCAACGTAAGAAAGTGAAGTGAACTGTTGAGTAAGTTAAGATTCAAGGGGCAAAATGAAAATTTGAAAACTATAAAATGATATTCTGTTCTTATTTACTATCTTGAACAGCTATTTTGACACCTTGAAGAAAAACATTTCGAAAAAATGAATTTTGAGGGAGTTGTGGGGATTTCGAAACATTTCAAGTTGTTATTTATTGTAGACTGACATCAGTTAGAGGAACAAAGGAAACCTGGGAGCACTGGATAGCTGTTTCATCCTACTATGCCATTGACTCCTCACCAGTGCACATTCACGGATCCAGCCCGCCACCTTCAGGTTCCGTGGCCAGCACGTTACCATTGAGCTAGACACCGGGTCACAATCCAATCATCCATATTTCCAGCTTGTGTTAGCTCACGATATAGTACAACCACCACCCAATTTGATTGTTGAGTAACTGTGCTCATGGCCATCAGGCTTTCCCCCATCGGTCAAGACTCCTTATTGGAACTTTGAGAATACCTCTCGAAGCTAGTCACTAATAAGCACCAGGAGTCCCACACTAGGACGAAACAGCTATCAAATTCTCCCAGGCTTCCTTTGTTCCTCCAACTGATTTCAGTCTACGATGAATAACAACTTGAAATATTTAGCAAATCCCCACAATTTCCTCAAAATTCAACTGAATTGGTGTTCATTGGTGACTAGCTTCGAGAGGTATTCTCGAAGTTTCAATGAGAAGTCATGACCGATGGGGGAAAGCCTGATGGTCATGAGCACAGTTACTCAACGATCAAATTGGGTGGTGGTTGCACTATATCGTGAGCTAACACAAGCTGGAAATATGGACGATTGGATTGTGACCCAGTGTCTAGCTCAATGGTAACGTGCTGGCCACGGAACCTGAAGGTGGTGGGTTCGATCCAGGTAGGGTGGGTTCGTGGGTGCGCGCTAGTGAGGAGTCAGTCCCATACTAGTCTGAAGAAACAGCTATCCACTTCTCTCAGGTTTCCTTTGTTCCTCCAACTGATGTCAGTCTACAATAAATAACACCTTGAAATATTTAGAAAAATGGCTAAATTTTACCTAAAGTCATCTGAACCAAAACCTTTTCCCTATAAAACTATTTTGGCAACCTCATTTTTTTAGTGAAGACAAGGAGACCACAGAGCTGACTTAATTTAACAAAGAATTCGTTAGTATTTAGAAATTATTCCTTGACCGAAATTTTAGGTCATATGTTTCCTAAACTCAACAAAGTTGTAATCTAAAAGCGTTTTCATGTAGAGAAAAGTTAGAGGGTTGGACAATGAAACGTTTCTCAAGTAAAAAGTGATTCGGTTGTAGAATTCTAACATGAAGTGTCCTTTGCACACACATAAATGATAAATTCAGAGAGAGAGAGGCAGACTGACAATAATAATTATTATTATTTACTTGTCACTTGGGTTCCTAGTGAACCATAGGAATTCAGTAGCACATCCCCATTCCATTCTCTTCCATACGGTCGCTTCAACCACACTCCACGACTACCCACTACCTTTCATTTCTCATTTACACACAATCTCCTCCATCTCACCCTCACACCTCCAACTCGTCGTTTCCCATTTCCGTTCCACTTGACGGTCAGGTCTGACGTGGTGCGTGATGTCATCAATCGGTCTTCTCAATGTCCGCCTCATCCATCTCCACTTCCCTCTTCTGCATATTTATGGGTGATGCATTCTTCGTTAGTTAGTTGGTTGGTTGTTTGGTTGCCAGAGTGATTTCCTCTCTGCTCATTCTCATTATTCTGGCTATCTCATCTGCAGTGTCAGAATCGAGTGAGCGTAGGTGTCAGGTGTTGATGAATATCTGTGTTTTGTTTGAAAGGGATTTCATGATGCGCCAAGTCTCTCAAGTATCACATAGAAGCAAGTATTGATTTGAACTTGACTGAATTCCAGTTGAAAATCCGTATTCTGTTTGTGCTTTATGCTAAGTTGTGTGCAGTAGATCCCCACACTGATTTCAGATAATTACAGGAAGGCCTTTCTTGCTGTGTTCTGAATCCTGACTGACATTTTCATCCTTATGTGCACCTGTGTCGTCGACTGTAGCTCAAACGATGCTGCCTAGGTAGGTAGGTAGGTAGGTGTGTAGGTAGGTAGTTAGGTAGGTGTGTAGGTATGTATTCGTGTGTATATTTCTGTAACTAGGCAGGTGCCTATGTAGGTATGTAAGTAGGTCGATAGTTAGGATGTAGGTATGCAGGTGTGTAGGTAGGTGTGAATGTAGGTGTGTAGGTAGGTAGTAGGTAGGTGTGTATGTGTGGTGTAGGTAGGTAGGTGTCTATGAAGTTAGTTAGGCAGGTAGGTAGGTAGTTAGGTAGGTGCGCATGTAGGTAGGTAGTCCTGTAAGTAGGTAGGTGTGTAGGTATATGTGTATGTAGTTAGTAGGTAGATGCGTAAGTGGGTAGGTGTGTATCTAGGTAGGTAGGTAGGTGCGTAAGTAGGTAAGTGTGTATGTAGGTAGTAGGTAGGTAGGTAGGTTGGTAGGTGTGCATGTAGCTGTATATAGGTGGCATGCAGGTAGGTAGGTGGCTGTGTGTGTGTGTGTGTGTAGGTAGGTGGGTAGGTGTGTTACTAGATGTGTAAGGCTGTGTAGTTATGTGTGTGTGCAGGTATGTAGGTAGGTAGCTATGCACGTGTTATGTGGGTGTGTATGTAGGTTGTTAGGTACTTGTGTATGTATTTGTGTATGTAGGTAGGTATGTAGGTGTGAATGTAGGTAGGTAGGTATGTAGGTAGGTAGGTAGGTAGGTAGGTAGGTAGGTAGGTAGGTAGGCAGGTAGGTAGGTAGGTAGGTAGGTAGGTAGGTAGGTAGGTGGTTGTGTAGGTAGGTGTGTAGGTGTGTAGGTAGGTAGGTGTGTAGGTAGGTGTGTAGGTAGGTAGGTAGGTAGGTAGGTAGGTAGGTAGGTAGGTGTGTAGGTAGGTAGGTAGGTAGGTAGGTAGGTAGGTAGGTAGGTAGGTAGGTAGGTAGGTAGGTAGGTAGGTAGGTAGGTAGGTAGGTAGGTAGGTAGTTGTGTAGGTGTGTAGTTAGATACGTAGGTAGGCAAAAGAGACGACTTCATTTGGATTTCTCACGTGAATGTTGTTTGGTGCTTGTTTTTGTTTTTAGTTGGAAATGCAGACTGACACAATCAACATAAAACCTCGTACACAGGTTCATCGAAAAAGCCTGATGTCAATGTAGATAAAGTTTTTTAGGAGAATAAACAATTTGAAGATAAAGGATAGTGCAAATATTCAAGGTCTGGATATCAATTATTCATTTCGGTTCGACTGATTTTATCTATGTCACCAAGATTCTTTCACCGCCGATTACTTTCACCTCGGTGACTGCTTACATCTCCCCAACGGACTCAAAAAATTGTCAGGGACTTCATCGACTTGTGCCATATCTTAGTTTGGGCAACGTGAACCCTTCTCTTCCAACCTAATTCAACTTCCACTGACATTTCATATCAAGGTATGTGGTGGATCGGTATTCGTATCATACGTCCATGCCATCTCAGTCAATTAAGGTTCACAACCTTATGAATCGACTTGTCTGGTAAGCCTAGTACCCTTCACCTGACCTCAGAGTTGCTAACACGGCGATTCTACTAAACTGTGATTGAAACCCAGTAACTGTTTCACGTCTTCTGCTTTTAGCGGCCGTGTTTCATAACTTCATATCAGGATGGAGCGTACTAGAGCAGGGTATAACCCTTGTTGAATAGATAGTTGAATTATTTAGCTAGTTGGAGCTACGGATGATGCAGGTTGGCAAATGCTGATCGGGCCTTATGTATCCGAGCTAAGATTTCGTCAGCAGCTCTCCAGTTAAGTGGAATGGTGGACATATTTCACCACCTGGCTCCCTATCATTAGACCAGAAGTACTTGTAGCAGACCAGTTCAACAGCACCATCTTACATTTGACAGGTGACAGCAAAATGGGTAGATTTCTGCTGAGTGTGTTCAGAAGATTCTGTATTGTATCATCGTCTTCACCTAGCAGAACAATATCGTCTGCATATTCCAAGTCACCTAGATCATCTCCCCCACAGTTGAAGGAGTCAAATGCCACCTTCAGGTGAAGAAATGTGGTAAGTGTCATTCGTTGACTGGTAAGTATACCTTTATTCCAGAACTTACCAGCAGATAACATAGAGAAGAGAATATATTTAATCATAAGACGTTCAACATGTATTTTAGTCAATGGAATTCGAATAAATTGAATGGTCTTAACCCTTTTTTTTGGCTAAGCAAACAATCGATACATCAGTAACTTATTTAATAAACATTTTTACACTGACTACATCGTATTGTTTCGACTGTGATGGCTAGTGACTATTTTTTCTTGAAAAATGGAGACAATTAATTCAACGATGACATATTTTTCGACGATTCGATTCACTAACCTATACAGTCTCATTTCTATAAGTTTTTTGGTAAGAATATGCAATTTATTTCATTTGTGAAAGTAGTTAGTTAAGCAGAGTAACAAGCCCCTTAATAATAATTATAGTAATTCTATTTGTGTGACTTGTTTCCTTAAAATTAAGCGTAAATGATTATGTCACCTTGACAACTATTAAAATGGCTAATCACTTTTATCAGTTTCCTTCAATAAAACAATAAGAAGTTATATATTGTCTAAAACGTGTCATTTATTTCTGAAACAAATTTTGAACAATCTGATCATTATACATAACTGTCATGGATATTTATATGAAACATATTTTGAAGTTAATTTTTAAAGAAATATTCATTACGGAGGGGAAACGACAAGTTTGACGTCCGAAGTTGACATAGAGGAGATGATATGAGAAAGAACTGAAAGCCTGTAGATAGTTGTAGTGCCAGGTTCAAAAGATTGCAGAGAACAAAATGGAATGGAGATGTGCTACTGAAGCCATATGTTTCACTAAGAACCTTAGCAGTACACACACATGACCATGCTAGGGATTGAACTGTCAACTTTCTGGTTCCATGACGTATGTATCAATCCTTCAGTTGCTGAGTTCTAATTTCTATTGACGTTTTAAACATTGAGAAAATATTACAATATGAAAATGTTATCTTCACAAAATGACAAGTGAGTGAGATGGTAATAATAACAACTAGAGAATGTTCACGAAACCATCTATTCCAGATTCAACTTTTGGTGAGAACAACATCACTCATCTAGAGGTAGGTGTATGCGACTGACGAGTTTTAAGTTGGACAAAACATGAATTCTAGATTGCATTACCAGCTACTATTCATTCTTACCATTAAACGGAAAATATTGATAATAGTGAGGTATCCATAAATCAGCTTATCTCTACCTCAACTTCATCGACTTTGAGAAGGCCTTTGACAGCGTCGACCGAGAAGTAATTTGGAAACTGCTTCAATACTACGGAGTACCGCAAACCTTTATCAGCCTCATTCAACAACCATATGAAGATGCCACATGCCAAGTAATTCACAATGGGAAGCTCAGTGATGCTTTTGAAGTGAAGACAGGAGTGAAACAAGGTTGCCTACTATCCCCCATGATATTCCTGATTGTGGTCGACTGGACTGGATCATGCGGCAAACAGTAGGCAGCGAGAAGAGGGGGATACGCTGGACGGCAGAAAAGAACCTGGAAGACTTGGATTTCGCCGATGACTTGTGCCTGATGTCACATAAACTTGAGGATCTGCAGGCAAAAACTAATAAGTTGATAGAAGAGGCAGCGAAGACGGCACTTCAAGTGAATATAGAGAAGACAGAGGTGATGAAGATACCGCATCAACAACTCCAACAACAACAACAAACTCCAGTCGCCATCAACGGGAGAAACTTAAAGGAAGTAACCTCCTTCACCTATATCTAGGAAGCACTGTTTCAACTACAGGCGGGACGGACGAGGACGTCAAAGTCAGAATCGGAAAAGCAAGACAGGCGTTCATTAGCCTGAAACCAGTGTGGAGATCTACTGCACTCAGCATGCGGAACAAGATACGGATTTTCAACACCAATTCAGTCAAGTGAGTGCTCCTGTATGGTTCAGAGACTTGGCGAGTCAGAAAAGGGATTTCCAATAAACTACAGACATTCATCAACAACTGCTTACGCTTGCTACTGAAGATCAGATGGCCAGAATAATAAGAATAAGCAACAAGGAACTCTGGCCTGACAAGTAACCAACCAAGAACCTATCACTCAACAAATATGCAGAAGGAAGTGGAGATGGATTGGGCACACACTGAGAAGGCTGACTTGGGACATCACGCGTCAGGCCCTCGAGTGGAATCCCCATGGGAAACGACGAGTTGGACGTCCGAGGGTGACATGGAGCAGGTCGTGCGAGGAGGAAATGAGAGCTTGTGGGCTGTCGTGGAACCAGGTTCAAAAGATCTCAGAGAACAGATGAAATGGAGACGTGCTACTGAAGCCCTATGTTCCACTAGGAACCCAAGGGACTAATAATAATAATAATAATAATAATAATAATAATAATAATAATAATAATAAATCAGCTTATATACTAATAGAACCGAAAATAAGAAACTACAACCAATAATATAAACTTATTGTCTTCACTTGACAAACGAATTGTTGTTTTAAAATGTTGTCTAATGATTGCTTATAGCAAATAACATAACTTTAGGTGATATTCGGGTTATACTGTGAATTGAAACAATTTGGAAACTGTGGGTTTATGAACTCGAAATCAGTGTTTAAACAGAGACGTGCACGCTAAGACATGCGAAAGTTATGAGTTTAATCTATGGAGTGATGAATGGTGTGCCTCTTTTAAGAGTTCAATACTGTCCAGTACTCTAAAGTTATCAAACGTTCTCCAATTAGCTTCACTTCATGAATACTAAATACTGCCTTGAGAGAAAAGAATCCTTACCTTTATGAGTCTCATTCAACAACTATATGTAGATGCTACAGGCCAAGTAATTCATGATGAGAAGCACAGTAATGCCTTTGAAGCAAAGACATTCATCTTCTTGATTGTGGTGGACTGGATTATGCAGCAAACAGTGAGGAGCGAGAAAGGGGGTATACGCTGGACAGCGAAAAGATCCTAGATGATTTGCACTTCGCTGATGATGACTTGTGTCCAATGTCACACAAACTTGAAGATCTACAGGCAAAGACTAACAAGTTGACACAAAAGACAACGAAGACGGGAATTCAAGTTAATACAGAGAAGATAGAGGTGATGATAATACACAACCAACACCACCATCACCACAAACAACAACAAGCTCCAATCATCATCAACACGAGAAACGTAAAAGAAGTAACCTCTCTCAACTACCAACTAGGCAGCATCGTTTCAACCATAGACGACACTAGCACAGACGAGGACGTCAAATCCACCCAGCATCGAAAAGACAGCAAGACAGGCATTCATTAGACTGAAACCAGTGTGGAGATGTTCTCCACTCAACTCAGCATAAAGCGTGAACAACATCCCGATTTTCAACACCAGTTCAGTCAAGTGAGTCAGTGTTTCTATGTGATGGTTGAGAGACTTGGTGCGTTACGAAAAGCATTTCCAACAAGCTACAGATATTCATCAACAACTGCCACCTACGCTGGCTCGTTACTGAAGCTCAGATGAGAAGGCCGTAAAGAATAAGCAAGAAGCAACTCTGACAACGAAACAACCAAGAACCTGTCACTCAATAAATATGAATTGGAAGGAAGTGGAGATGGATTGGATTGAGCATGTAGTGAGAAGGCCGACTGGGGACATCACGTGTCAGGCTAGATGGTCGAGTGGAATCCAGATGGGAAACAGTGAGTTGGGCTTTGGAGGTGAGGGTGATATGGAGGAGATGGTGTGAGGAGGGGATGAGAGGTTGTGGTCAGTTGTGGAGCCAGGTTGAAAAGATTGCAGAGGTGAGAGTGTAATTCCACTAGGAATCCAGGGAAAAATAATAATAATATTGAATATATATATATATATATATATATATATATATATATATATATATATATATATATATATGAAAGAATCCTTATTCGGTTATATTTTATTTTATTCTAATTCAAATTAGTTGATGGGAATTATGTGCAACTAGAAAATGCGATAACTTTATCAGAATCTGAGCACACTCTTCCATTGAGTCGATCAACAGAATGTCTGTATGATGAAGATGATGATGATGCTAACAATAAGAAGGTTACTAATGACAAGATTATTGATGCATTACCGAACATAGGTAAAGAACAATGGATCACATCAAATTATATGAATGCAAGTTGGATACCAAGTAAGATACCTGGGATTTCATTTACACTAGTTCAAAGTGGACAGCTACCACAAAATATATTGCAGCACAAGCACCAGTTGATCATTCATGTAGTTTATTTTGGCAAATGATTTGGGATCATCATGTTACTTTAATTGTTACACTTACCAGGTAAGTAGTATAATATTAATGTACATTTATCTATTGATTAAGGAGGATTTTTTGTTAACATGATGAAGATTTGTAAACATTAATTCCTTGAATCAATATTGTACATAAAAATTTAAGTAGTTGTTTACAAATTTATTTAAAATCAGTCAAAATACAAAATCCTTTACACAGAATAAAGTTAACAGGAAGTAGTATAAAGTAAGTTGATATTCATATGAAGTTGACTATTATATAGTAAATTTACATTCACTTGTAATCATTATCACGATGTTTCAAGAATACAAGTCTACCGAATAGTCACAAATGAATCAACACAATAGCCCTCATTCTTGAATTCAGTTGGATTTAGACTGAAACACTAAGTCCTGGTTGAGCAGATAGTGTGTTTTGGCAGTGAGCCGATAGATATGCATCATGTAATCACATGGCACCGGAGCTCCGATAAAACATAGTGATTCATATGCACGTCACCATTTCACTCTCTTCTATACAGTCTCTTCAACCACACTCCACGACTACCCACTACCTTTCATTTCTCATTTACACACAATCTCCTCCATCTCACCCTCACACCTCCAACTCGTCTTTTCTCATTTCCGTTCCACTTGACAGCCAGACCTGAGGTGGTGCGTGATGTCCCCAATCAGTCTTCTCAATATCCGCCTCATCCATCTCCACTTCCCTCTTCTGCATATTTATGGGTGATGCATTTTTGGTTAGTTAGTTAGTTAGTTGGTTGGTTGGTTGGTTGGTTGGTTGCCAGAGTGATTTCCTCTCTGCTCATTCTCATTATTCTGACCATCTCATCTGCAGTGTCAGACTCGAGTGAGCGTAGGTGTCAGGTGTTGATGAATATCTGTGTTTTGTTTGAAAGGGATTTCATGATGCGCCAAGTCTCTCAACCACCACATAGAAGCACTGACTTGACTGAATTCGAGTTGAAAATCCGGATCTTGTTCATGCTTTATGCTGAGTTGTGTGCAACAGGTCTCCACAAACAGATTAATGCAGGAAGGCCTTTCTTGTTGTGTTTCCGATCTTGACTGACTTTGATATCCTCATGTGCACCCGTACCGTGCCTGTAGTTTAAACAATGCTGCCTGTGTAGGTGAAAGAGTCAACTTCAGTTAGATTTCTCCCGTTAGTGGTGATTTGTGCTTGTTGTTGTTGTAGCTGGTTATTTGAGTATCTTTATCACCTGTGTCTTCTCTACGTTCAGCTGAAGTAAGTTCGGTTTTCGCTGCCCTGCCTCTTCTTCCAACTTGTTAGTTTTCACCTGTAGGTCTTCGAGTTCATACGACATTAGACATTGGACATAAATCATCATGGGGGAAATCCAAATATTCTAGGGTTTTCTCATTGGTCCAGCGTACGCGTATCTTCCCCCCTTACAGTTTGTTGCATAATCCAATCGACCACAATCAAGAAGATTATCGGCGATAGTAGGTGGTAACATCGTCTTACTCCTTCCTGTCTTCACTTCACTTCAATAGTGTCACTGAGCTTCCCGCTGTCAATCATATGGCCGGTAGTATCCACATATGGCATACAGCTGCTGTTGAATGAGGTTGATAAAGGTTTGTGTCACTAAAACCGTATTGTTGAAGCAGTTGCCTGTCAAATTACTTCTCGGTTGACACTGTTGAAGGCCTTTTCAAAACCGATGGAGTTAATGTTGAGTTGATTTGACTAGCATTCTATGCTGTGTTCTATGGTGATGTGTAGCGTAGCCTTGCAATTTGATCCGCACATGGTTTGTTCTTCCTCAATCCAGCCTGAAAGACTGAAGGAGAAGTTGCAACTTGTTCAGAAGCTGATATGCCCACCTCAACTGATTGGTTGCCTAAGCTCTAACTCAAAGGTTACGACTTGAAATGCTAAATAAAACCTCAGTCTTCTATTTTACGTTCATTCATCTCGCAGTACCAGTTTAAATCATCTCTCCTTGGGCTGTGCATTTCATCGTAGCCAAATGAATCATTATACCACTTCTGGGGTAAAATTATGCAATTAATTAATAGAAGACAATGTAGTGAGGAAAAGTTTTCTTTTCGAAGAATCATTTTCGAACTTTGTACAATGATAATCATATTTGCTCCACTGGCCGATGTATCACTACAAGGTCATCAAAGGCTGTCAATAGAGTCGGAAGGTGACAACAGGGAGAAGGTCAACTCAAGTTCATCAGAAGTCTCGCATACGATTATGGTAAGTGAATGATCTGTCTTGTAGAGATTACCGTCAAAGACAAGATTGTAGATTGAATGTATCTTTTCTGAACACAAAGATAAGGCTTATGTAGTTGAGGTGGCAAATACTCACTTTCTTCAAAATGTTTGCCTTCACTTTGTAAATGACTTTTAAAAACGATTCTTTTGAAGCATCAAGACCAGAGATAAGCAAAAATACTCAAGAATCCAACTGCTGACAGGGTTACGCAATCCTTTAGATAGTTTTTGAACAAGATTCATTGAGAAGAACAATTTTTCTTCGGATTTAAAAAAAACAACTTCTGATTATCTGATGGGACTATTTCAAGACTTGCGATAAATTGGGTATCTCTATTCGCCCTGTAAATGAAATTATTACCATCTTGTTATCGTCTAAATCTTTTTCTCTCACTCCCCACCCCGTCGCTTCTCACATCTAAAAGGAACTACTTCCACAGATGCTTCTAGAAGAGTTACCATCGAAGAACAGTAGAATGGAGGAAATTATGATGAAGTGTTATGAATTGACTGAAGTTGGAAATATGGATCATTGGATTCTGAGCCAAATCTCAAGCCACTTAGTTGCTTTATCTTTCGGACCCCACTTAAAGATTCGTGATGAACCAACATATGCTAACCCGATACAACTGTCTTTCATCCCACGACGTCTCGTCATATACTGACCTTGTCTCTGCTTTGTCTATCCAGTTTCAGGGTTAACACACAATGAACGATGCGGAAGCCGTTGGGATGACATGTGTAACACATGTCCAGGCCACTGAAGTCAGTGTTTCAAGATGACTTCACACCATCGTAACTGGAAATTACTTACATGGTTTCATCACTGGATACGAGCATTAACACAGAGAAAACGATAATCAAACACACAGAGTTGTCGCACATTCATTTTTCAGAGAGACCAGCTTTCACAGGCATACAACAGAACCAGTAACATTGTTACGTTGTAGACACCACATTTTTACGGTCAGATTAACATCTCGACGGTGCCAAAGGTGGTGCAGATTGACATATATGACCCTGGCTTTCGATATACGGTTAAAATCTCACCACAAACCTCCACCTCCACCAGCACTCACACAACTACCCAAATACACGAACTTTTGAGTAGTTCGAACGGTTCACCACCGACATTGAGTGCAGGTACAGGTTCTGGCCAATCTACCGAAAGTATTTTCCACTTCAGTGATGCAAAGCATATATCATACTGACGGAAGATGGGAAATCGCTCTATGAATTCTTAAAGCTTAAGAACTAAACTTCAGGAGAATATCTGCAGCCTTGTCAGTTTTCCCTTTCATCTTATGGGTACTTTTGAAGGAGAAGGTTATTGAAACTGTCTGTTCAATGTCAACGAAATGTTCAGCTATTGTGCGCCGTATGGATTTGTATAGAAGTTACGCTGAATGACTAATAAACTTAGCCTTATCTATGCAGATAAACTGGTTTCCACAAACGGAGATGGTTTGAGATGAGACTATTTTTGAAAACTATTGTTAGAACCCCATGTAAAGAAACCTTTCCTAGAGAGCTTGAAATACTTCCATTTGGAATGTCAGCTACCAATTCACCTATGAATTAATTGTTCATTGTAGGAACGTTTATAGAAGAAACAAGAAAGGCATACATTTCCAAATAAGATTTTTCATCGAAGAATTATTTCATCTTTTGTAGAATCAGAACTTCAAGTATGTTGGATGATTTATGAGAGACATAATCTCGTTTAACGATAGCTGGAGACTTATCATTTCATCAATGTTTCATTATTCCTCTTTGTTATTACCACAGCGGATCTTTTAGAAAGATATTGCATATACCTTGAGCCACTGAAAACAGAATAGCCATCAATCTACCTTTAATATTATTATTATTGGAATTCATGTGTTGTTAATCTTAGCTGATCATTTTATCGATAAGAAGTGAAACAATCTGACAGTGACTGGCCTAAGAGGATCCTATAGTGGTACCATTGTCTTCTTTGTAGATTGTATATTCAAGTGTTAACAGAACACTGAGAATATCTCTCGGTAGAAATTATTTCAAGTATGCAGATGGTACTCTAATATTTACATTGGTATCATCCATTTACTTGGAGGTATACATAAAACATTAGAAGGATAGTGATTCCATATGAAGGGATATTGTACGTTTGTCAGAAACATTCATATTCTTTATTCACTCAACTGATTTGAAGTTATCATGGAGGAATTAAATACACAGATTTCTTACGACAGGTTGGATTGGTAAAGATATTCGGATATTTCGATAATTTGGTGAATGATCAAGCTAGTTTACATATTTATACATATTTTTCGTTCATTAATTTTTTATTTATCTATTATTTGTCCCTTGGGTTCCTAGTGGAAAATACGGCTTCAGTAGCACGTCTCCATTACACTCTCACCTCTGCAATCTTTTCAACCTGGCTCCACAACTGACCACAACCTCTCATCCCCTCCTCACACCATCTCCTCCATATCACCCTCACCTCCAAAGCCCAACTCGTCGTTTCCCATCTGGATTCCACTCGACCATCTAGCCTGACACGTGATGTCCCCAGTCGGCCTTCTCACTACATGCTCAATCCAATCCATCTCCACTTCCTTCCAATTCATATTTATTGAGTGACAGGTTCTTGGTTGTTTCGTTGTCAGAGTTGCTTCTTGCTTATTCTTTACGGCCTTCTCATCTGAGCTTCAATAACGAGCCAGCGTAGGTGGCAGTTGTTGATGAATATCTATAGTTTGTTGGAAATCCCTTTCGTAACGCACCAAGTCTCTCAACCATCACATAGAAACACTGACTCACTTGACTGAACTGGTGTTGAAAATCGGGATGTTGTTCACGCTTTATGCTGAGTTGAGTGTAGAAGATCTCCACAGTGGTTTCAGGTTAATGAATGCCTGTCTTGCTGTCTTTTCGATGCTGGGTGGATTTGACGTCCTCGTCTGTGCTAGTGTCGTCTATGGTTGAAACGATGCTGCCTAGTTGGTAGTTGAGAGAGGTTACTTCTTTTACGTTTCTCGTGTTGATGATGATTGGAGCTTGTTGTTGTTTGTGGTGATGGTGGTGTTGGTTGTGTATTATCATCACCTCTATCTTCTCTGTATTCACTTGAATTCCTGTCTTCGTTGTCTTTTGTGTCAACTTGTTAGTTTTTGCCTGTAGATCTTCAAGTTTGTGCGACATTAGAGACATTGAGATCTTTTCTAATAAGGTGATTATTCTGTAGTCAGTGTTTAAGACTTCAGCTGAGTTGCTTTTCAACTATGTTTTGCGAAGTAAGTTTCAACAGACCTGGTAACCAACTGGATTTCATGGCGAAGTTAATAGGTCACTTCCCCTTTAAACCAAAGTACCTAGGTTGGCATTCTGCTCCAATCCAGATTTTCGCCTTATCTTCAGCTAAAAAAAGAAGGTCTACTTAGAATATTCACGAATAAAGACTGTAGAATATTACTAGTTGTTCTCGTTATTATACATGGCCGAATTGCGATGGGCACTATTTTTGAGTCTCAATAGGTACAGTATCACTCATTGAAGTACAGGTGCATCTAGCTGACGAGTCAAAAATAGAACGAAATTCGTGTCAAGCTGCATTCATCTGCTAGTCACCAAGATCAATGGTCTTTATCATCTCCTATACAAGCAGTAGTTAACATTATTTTGTATTATAAATGGTCTTTCCAGTCATTATGTATATTGATGTATTATCTACGCAAACTAAACTCGATATGTATTTTATTTATAAGATGTGTAGAGACGGTAAAGAGAAATGTTCCATGTACTGGCCTAGTGATGATCAGTTGTCTGGGTCAAAAGAACAATCATATCAAAGTGGACGTACAGTTTATTTTGGTCGATTTAAAATACATCTGATTTCAGAATTCAATTATTCCGTGTACACACGCAGAAAACTACGAATTCATGATCGTGTAAGTTGATATATATATATATATATATACATATATATATACATATATATATACATATATATATATATATATACATCAGCTTCCATATACTACATCAATTACACATTTATTATGATGCAAATATATGGAAATTTATTTTTGAGATGAATGGGACTTTTAATTTCGAAGTGGCATTCATCGTGAACTGACATCAGTTAGGGAACCATTGGAAATCTAGCAGCACTGAACACCTGGGATTCCTCAGCAGTACGCATCCACGACTCGGATAACCATCGAACTCAGGACATTCAGGTTTCATGGAGAACGCGATAACTATTCAGACAATGGGTCAGTTTCTTATGGTTCACAGTTTCCAACATCTGTGAATTCACAACATAGGACTACTATCATCCAACGTCTTCAGTTAGCATCCACTTCACTTCCGACTGGTTAACCCTACAGGTCATCGCTTCTCATTAGAGCTTAGTGATATCCATCTGCTGAGGAGTCCTATACTAGGACGAAACACTTCTTTCCAATGCATATTTGTTGAGTGATAGCTTCTTGCTTTGTTTGTTTGTTACCAGCCAGCCAGCCAGCCAGAGTTCCTTGTTGATTATTCTTATTATTCTGGCCATCTGAGCTTCAGTAACGAGCCAGCGTAGGTGGCAGTTGTTGATGAATATCTATAGTTTGTTGGAAATCCTTTCGTAACGCACCAAGTCTCTCAACCATCACATAGAAACACTGACTCGCTTGACTGAATTGGTGTTGAAAATCGGTATGTTGTTCATGCTTTGTGCTGAGTTGAGTGGAGAAGATCTCCACAGTGGTTTCAGGTTAATGAATGCCTGTCTTGCTGTCTTTTCGATGGTGGGTGGATTTGACGTCCTCGTCTGTGCTAGTGTCGTCTTTGTTTGAAACGATGCTGCCTAGTTGGTAGGTGAAAGACACTACTTCCTTTAAGTTTCTCCCAATATAATGGTGATTGGAGTTTGTTGTTGTTGGTGGTGCTTTTGGTTGTGTATCTTCATCACCTCCGTCTTCTCTATATTCACTTGAATTCCCGTCTTCGCTGCCTCTGTAGATCCCCAGGTTTGTGCGACATCAAACACAAGTCATCGACGAAATCCAAGTCTACTAGGTTCTTTCCTGCGGTCCAGCATATCCCACGGACGATAGGGTTATTGAACCCTTTCAATGGAATCCACATCGAATGATCGATATACCCAACTCTGATGGAACAAGTGAATTGATATGGGATCTTGAATTTCGAGTTTCAGAACGATGACTACAGAATACTAGTCAAAGGTAGCTACAAACCACATTCTCTTCAAGGAGCTTCATTTTCCTCTGAAATGAATCAATCCCACCAAAATTAAAATCAGTTTTCACTATCTTTTAAAGAAACCGAATAAAAACGAAGAAAATCTACTGATCACTTGATTCCTAATCATATTTTCCATAGATAATATGAAAGACTGAATTCATGTTAACTTCAATATGGTGTGGGTGATAGTCGCGCTATGTCATGAATTGACAGAAGTTGGAAATTGTGAACCATTAGAAACTGACCCATTGTCCGAACGGTTAACGCGTTCGCCATGAAACCTGAATGTCCTGAGTTCGATGGCTATACGAGTCTTGGGTGCGTACTGCTGAGGCGTCCCATACTAGTTTGAAACAGGTGTTCAGTGCTGCTAGATTTCCAATGGTTCCCTAACTGATGTCAGTTCACGATGAATACTACTTTTACACTGAAAACTGATATCTTTGTTATGCCGATATGAAGAGAACTTTAGTTTACGGTAATTATCAAATTACTAGATCAACACTCTGCCGACCAAGCTGTGTTACTCAACGCTTCACTTAATCTTCATTCATCATTCTGTTAAAGGAGTGTCACTTTACCGAACCGCATTTATTTCAGACGGTTTCACCAGTTAGTGTTTCTCTAAAGGGAGGGTGAAATCATAACGCAGTGTATTCCACTTCATCTTTCTTTCTTACCAATGATTTTTACACATTTCTTTTGATAGAAATGAACAGAGAATGTTTACAATTTCGGTGGAAAAGCAGTGGGAATTCTAATGCTCACGTCCTAACACATCGTTACAGTGGATCTATTCAATTTTGGGATAATGTATCGTCATTGCTATTTATTTACATACTTGTTGTTCTACGTTGTTTGTTGTGTTGGATCCAATTGTTCGGCCTCTATTGAAGTGATGGGTACGAGGTTGGGGTCTCAGTGGGAGCAACATCATTGGGATGCAGGTACATCCAGCTGACGAGTCACAAATAAGACGAAATGCGCGTACTGGATTTCTCTGCTAGCCACAACCAACCAAATTACCATAGTGAATCATTATGTTTTAATAATGCTGCGACCTTGAACGCTTTGAAAAAGGAGATGAGAATTCAAAGTCATTGTATTGGGATACAATGAAAACAACCTACCATTTCATACTTTAGTGTAAATATTATTAACTGTTCGTCATTAGAATTAGAATAATATTATCCAGTACACGCGATACTACTGATAATTATAAAAGTAGCAAAAAGAGAATATATAATGATTAAATTCAAGTTGTTTTTAATCGTAGACTGATATTAATTGGAGGAACAAAGGAAACCTGGGAGCGCTGGACAGCTGTTTCGTCAGACTAGTATGGGACTGGCTCCTCACCAGTACGCACCCACGACCCCGCCCTCGCCGGATCATACCCTCGACCTTCAAGTTCCATGGCCAGCACGTTTACCATTGAGCTAGCCACTGGGTCACAATCCAGTCGTCCATATTTCCAATTTCTGTTGGCTCACGATATAACGTGACCGCCACCCAATGTTATCTTAGAGTAACTATCCTCACATCCATCAGGCTTTGTCGCTATCGGTCACGTCTTCTCTTTGGAACTTCGAGAATACCTCTCGACGCTAGTCACCAATGAGCACCAGTTGAATTTTGAAGGCAAAGTCTCATGGTCATGACAACGGTTACTCAAAGATCAACTTGGGTGGTGGTTACGTTATGTCGTGAGCCAACAGAAATTGGAAATATGGACCACTGGATTCTAACCCAGTGGCTTAACGCTAACGTGCTGGCCACGGAACCTGAAGGTGGTGGGTTCGATCCAGGGAGGGCGAGTTCGTGGGTGCGCACTGGTAAGGAGTCAGTCCCATACTAGTCTGACGAAACAGCTATCCAGTCCTCCCAGGTTTCTTTTGTTCCTACAATGAAAAACAACTTGAAATATCTCCAAATCCCCACAACTTCCTCAAAATTCAACTGAATAAAATTCAGTGAAATGAGTAAATTTGAAAATCTTCAAAAAATTGCAGGTTGTTGTATTCAACAATGCTGAATATTTCCCAAAATTAACTATTTAAAGATATATATATATATATATATATATATATATATGTGTCTTAGTGTCACTTTCTTAGACAATACTAAGCTGATGTAGTGTGATTGGTGCTTGGTAATGTTGGAATCTATGAGACCTGTTCTATCCTGTTTTGAACTCCACAACTGAATGTTCCTGCATTCCGTTCCATAGTAATATTTCCCTTAAAACGTTAAAGAATAAGCTACTGTGTTACTTTAGTATTATTACTTGTATTATATCATCGTTGAATAGACCAAATTGATTGGTCTCTATTGGTATATGGTCTTCTATGCGGTTGCCTTGATATTATCTGTGTATTAGTTATAGTAAGGATGGATAGTGGCTGGGAGTAGAATCTAGGATAGGTATTTCGTCTTGTTTGGGACTCAATTGTCAGTTGGATGTATTTCTCTCCCAGTGAATGATGTTGTCCTCACCGGGAGCCTAACTCAGGACCGATAGCTTCACACTCTTGAGTGTTATCCACTTGAACACCTAGTCACTATAGCCACTTCTGACATAGAAGCCTATATGCCAGTAGTGACCGTCAATTCGGTCCAATCAACGACGGTATAATACAAGTAACAGTACTAAAACTATGCCCGTCGCACAAGAAGGGGTTACCATGCTTGGTAGTCTAGTAGATAACGCTCTGGCAATAGAGGCAATCGCCCCGAGTCAAAATCTCGGTAGGAACAATATCACTCCCTGGGAGACAGGTACATCCAGCGGACGAGTCCCAAATAGGACGAAATGCGCATCATAGATCTCACTGTTAGCCACCATCCATCATTACTAATCTTAATTTGCCCAAAAATCGAGCGCTGAGGATTGGTGGTGGCTTGCAGAGACAAATGAAGCACATGCTAACCCATTTTAGTCTATGTAGATTCGTAACCTCATCGAATGACATGTCTCAATTTTTGCGTCACCTGGATATTGCTCACATCATGCTTGAATCTCATCACAGCAGGTCCATATTCAAAATTTATATTCTATTTGATCATATAAAGTTTACGTGAACCTACTAATCGAGTCATATGTTCACTGGTAATGTTAACAGAAAACATCGCAGGATGAATCCCGGGATATTATTCATTTGCATATGCTTAAATGGCCTGACTTCTCAACTCCAACCACCGAGGATTTTATAACCTTTCTTTATGCTTATTGGACCGAAAGACGAATTTTAGGTGGAGAATCTCCAGTCCTTGTACACTGCAGGTAAGTTCTTATAAACGGTCAAAGTGTTTTGATTTATCTGTAGTTATAGCCTTAGGCTTCACCGTCCAGATTCACTTGGTTCCTTGGGAATAGAAAAAGGCAGCAGCCGATGTAAGGTTTGTTGTTAAGACGGGTATGTTTGTTAAAGCTTGGAGGTAGTTCCAGGAATATTGTCTCACTTCATAATGTCTCTATTGTTACAGGAATCTGTTCAGAAATTAATTAATGACACTCTTACTGAAGTCATCATGTGTCAGTGAAAAGTGAATGAAGGATGACGAACTCCTCTACAGTATGAGACCATGATCCTGCTCTCTAGGAGTTGAACTATGGACCTTCAGGTCATTTGGACACTGGGTCAGAACTAACAGAAGTTGGAAATATGGGTTATTGGATTATAAATTAACCTATTCGGTAACAGACGTATTCACCGTGTTTAATGCTACTTATATGTTAGGTATGAAAACTTCGAGTTTTAGATGATCGATTGTCACGTTGAAGTTTATTTCTTTCTAAAGCACTTTCATCTTAGCTTACCTTAAAGTTCTTGAGGTGAGATTGACTACCTACTTTGTTCTATCGTTGTTTGATGATGTTTCCTCTGTAATTTGATTATTTTCCAAGGGATATTTTTCTTGGATTAATTTGTGAAACTTTTTGACTTGATTATTTCTGGATTTCAAGTTGTTATTCATTGTAGACTGACATCAGTTGGAGGAACAAAGGAAACCTGGGAGAACTGGATAGCTGTTTCATCAGACTAGTATGGGACTGACTCCTCACCAGTGCACACCCACGAAGCCACCCTACCTGGATCGAACCCACCACCTTCAGGTTTCGTGGCCAGCACGTTATCATTGAGCTAGCCACTAGGTCACAATCTAATGCTCCATATTTCCAACTTGTGTTAGCTCACGATATAGCGCGACCACCACCCAATGTTATCTTTGAGTAACCATCCTCACAACTATCAGGCTTTGCCTCCACCGGTCACCAACCGGTCTGGATTTCTTGAAAGGAGTTGTCTTGGTTTATCTGATGTTTGTATAAAAAAACTCATAATCTCTGTGTTTACAATCATCATAAATTTATACTTCAGTTGTTCAATTTTATTCTGGATGCTAATCAACTTGCTGATAATCTCCTATGAATTTCTTCCTTGAGACAAAGTTTCCTAACATGTTCGTTTGGTTTTGTCCATAGATATTAGAATAAGCAGACGGAGATATTTGAGGATAATTTGATATTTTTGTATAACAAATATTGACCATACAATGATTTATGAAATTAAATGAGTGAGTTTATTGACTAGCCTTTGAACAAGAAGACCATAAGTTTCAATAAAATCAGTGTAAAACTTGACCGCTGCGGTAGAATCTGTTACCTACCTCATATTCTTTGCTTTGAGTGGTAGTAAAACTGTCTATATCTGTGGTATAGAAAGTTGTTGCACCATTCCTGTTACATATGCTCCATGTTGATTCGATAAGCGAAAGATTCAGTAATCAATCAATCAATCTCTTTCTCTACCTACCTACCTACCCACCTACCCAACTACCTACACACCTACCTACCTGCCTACACACCTACCTACCTACCTACCTACCTGCTCCTACCTACCTACCTACCTACCTACCTGCTGCCTACCTACACACCTACCTACCTACCTACCTACCTACCTACCCAGTTATATTGGACAATATTTTTATCCCAACCTATTGTTTGGTTGTATGTTAATACATGCATTGCAATAGCTGAGATTTTTCTAGAATACTGATCCTATTACCTCCTATCCTTTTATATTTGGCTGAATTCTAACGTTTGCATAATTTCACTGACCCCGATCATCTAGTTTGATCTATATATTTGATAAAACAGTCATTGTATGGATTTTATAGATTAGATTATTGGATATTTGAGCCGATAAAGCTTGTCTCTGAGTAAGTTTGTAGGTTCAGTTGACACCCTGATTCAAGCCTTATTGAGAATCCTATATAAGGTTTTTCATGTACCTTCCTTATAGAGTAACATAATGGAGGCTTTGAACTCCTGTCTCATCATATTGTCGTTGTTATTCATACTCATGTTACTGTTATTATTTCGTTTCTTGTGTGTTCATACGAACTTCTTAATAAACTGTAGAGGATAAATATTAATCATTACCACTTCTTTTGTGTGTTTCAATCCTTACTGAGTCTTTTTAGTTCTGTCATTCAGACATTTGACTCAAAACGCCTTAACTTATTTTAGATGAGATGACTGTTAGAATGTATCGGTTTCCTGTAGACGATCGTATCCAAACCATCGTCTCTTCTTCGTTTTAGTCTGCAATCCACCATAGCTGATCTTCCTTGTTCCTTGTAAGTGAATTGAATTACTTCCACAACTGAGTTTATATGTGTGAGGAAACATAGGAATCTAGCTTAATATAGAATGACAGATTCGAATAAGATCAGTAATCTAGAAAAACATTGGCCATTGGAATGCTTACATCAGCAGACAACCACACAATAGGATGTAATAAAATCACTGTACTCAAGTTCAGTATAATTAGGTGGAGAGGCGGAGTGACTCACTACTGAATCTCTACTCAATGAATCAACACCCAGTCAACACATGTAATAGAAATGACGCAACACCTTTCTATACCAGAGATATGGTAAATTTTACTACATATAGAAACTAAGAACAACAGGTGACAGAACCATATAAACCGTTTGCTGGAAGTCATGTGATTACATTGTCATGGATGATTATGAGAAATGATAATTTATGCTCAAAACGTCATTAAGTAGATAATAATACAGAGAGGGAGGACAGTAGTCGTTAAATATGGTACACCTTGCGCCATACACCTGCCTTGTCTCTTACGTTTCACTTGGCGGAATTCTTACCCACTGCTGGTAATTCCTTATGATTTCTGCCACCCTATCAACATATACTACTTATATCCATTCTTATTAGCAACGCCCACTACACTGTATCCACTGTGTTGTAAATCAGATAGACACTTCTAATAAGGGAATTAAATTCTGTCACAAAGCCCAAGTTTTACACTTGTTTTTTTACCTTACATGGATCTTTTGAAAATTGTGGAGAGAGATAATGTATCATCCTTATGAGATAACTGGTAAATATAACTGTCGAAACACTGAACATGATATTGATTGCTATGAGTAAAGTTATTATTGTTTTTCCCTTGGGTTCCTAGTAGAACATAGGGCTTCCGTAGCACGCCTCCATTGTACTATGTTCTCTCCAGTCTTTGAACCTGGCTCCACGACTGCCCATAAGCTTTCATTTCTTCCTCACAAGATCTCCTCCACGTCACCCTCATCTGGGATGCCCAACTCGTCGTTTCCCCTTTCGATCCTACTCGAGGGCCTGACGCGTGATGTCTCCGAATGGTCTTTCTCAGTGTATGAGTAAAGTTATAGGATTAAATGTATTTGGAATGTGATTCAAAGTTGTTTATAAAATGTATATCAACCTCCTGACTGTTTAATGTTTCTCTTTGTCTTTACTTTATGTGTTTCTTCTTTTAGTGCTGGTATAGGACGAACTGGTACATTTATTTGTCTGGATCAATTATGCCAACAAGTTCGTTATTTGTTACAAGTTACAAGTTGTCGACCTTCTATAACAAAAGTCAATAAAAAGAATGAGCCTGTTTACATAAATTTAGACAGTGAAGAAGAAGAAGGAGATGGAGATGGGAATGGAAATGGAAATGGTTACGGGGAAGAGGGTGATGAGGCACATCAGAGTGAAGCATCGAAAATCGATGAACAATGTGAAATCAAAAACTTAGTAAATGGAAGTAAAAGTAAGTGACAAGTTGATTTTCTATCATAAATAAAATTATGTTAGCAATGCATACGTTATCACATTAAATATTTAATACTTCTTACCGTGAGAACGAAATCTCGTGTACCATTACACCGTCTTGTAAGTAATGTCAATGGGAGAAACCCATGGGAGGTTGTCTCTTTCACCTACCTACCTACCTACCTACCTACCTACCTACCTACCTACCTACCTACCTACCTACCTACCTACCTACACACCTACCTACCTACCTACACACCTACACACCTACCTACCTACCTACCTACCTACCTACACACCTACCTACCCCTACCTACCTACACACCTACACACCTACCTACCTACCTACCTACCTACCTACCTACCTACCTACACACCTACCTACCTACCTACCTACCTACCTACCTACACACCTACCTACCTACCTACCTACCTACACACCTACACACCTACCTACCTACCTACCTACCTACCTACCTACCTACCTACCTACCTACCTACCTACCTACCTACCTACCTACCTACCTACATACCTACCTACCCACCTACCTACCTACCTACCTACCTACCTACCTACCTACCTACCTACCTACCTACCTACCTACCTACCTACCTACCTACCTACCTACCTACCTACATACCTACCTACCTACCTACCTACCTACACACCTACCTACCTACCTACACACCTACCTACCTACCTACCTACCTACCTACCTACACACCTACCTACACACCTACCTACCTACCTACCTACCTACCTACCTACCTACACACCTACACACCTACACACCTACCTACCTACCTACCTACCTACCTACTACCTACACACCTACACACCTACCTACACACCTACACACCTACCTACCTACCTACCTACACACCTACACACCTACCTACCTACCTACCTACCTACCTACCTACCTACCTACCTACACACCTACACACCTACCTACCTACCTACCTACCTACCTACCTACCTACCTACCTACCTACATACACCTACCTACCTACCTACCTACCTACCTACTTACCTACCAACCCACACCTACCTACCCACCTACGTACATAGAGAGCATCGTTTCAACTACAAGCAGCGGCACTGGCACAGATGAGGATATCACAGCCAGCCAGAATGGGACAGACAGCAACACATGACTCCCTGCACTAATCCCAAATCAGTGTGAAGATCTACTGCATTGCACTGCACTGTACTGCACTCAACAAATATCATGAACGAGATCCCGATTTTAAATACGAATTCAGTCAAGTCAGTGTTTCAATGTGGTTGTTGAGACACTTGATGCATTAAGTAAAGCATTTCCAACAATCTACAGATGCACATTAACAGCTGCTACCTACACTCACTCGATTCTGAAGATCAGATAGAAGTCGAGAATAATAAGAATAAGCGACGGGGAACTCATTCTGACAACCAACCAACCAACCAAGAACCTACCACCCGACAAATATTCAGAGTAAGAAAGTGGAGAATGGATTGGACTAGATATACACTGAGAAGACCGTCTGGGGATATCACGTGTTAGGCCAGGCCGTTAAGTGGAACCGAAATGAGAAATGAAAAGTTAGACGTCCGAGGGTGACATGGAGGAGATGGTATGAGGAGGAAAGGAAAAGTTACATGAAGTTGTGGAGCGAGGTTGAAGAGACTACAGAGAAGAGAGTGAAATGGTGACGTTCTACTGAAGCTCTATGTTCCGTTAGGAATCCGTGATAAATGTTACCTTGAAACCAATTAAAGCCTACAAGTAATCAATCAACTTTAATCCGTCTTAATTTACGAGGTAATAAGGGTGTTTTACTAACTTAGTTATTGAATAATGTTCAATCTATTACACTGCCAAAACTATTGAATGTAAATTGAATAGCCCATAAATTAAGTGGTATAAATGATCGATTCTACAACAAAGAATTCGTCTTTTTACTTCTTGTAAATTCTCAAAATACTTGTCTATATGGTTACCAGCCATTTATACCTTCCATATCTAACATTTTTGATTGAATCATTTCTTTATAAAGTTGTTTTAACCATTCATTTCCACGAAGTGTACAATGTATTTTTGCGCAATTTTTAATATATTGCGTTACAATTTTATCATGATGAAATGATTAGAAAAAAAATATACCGAATAGCCTTGGTTGTATTGTATTCTCTGAGCTCAGCTCAGAGTATCCCTGTCGATTAGATGAACAACCGAATTGAGAGCAATCTTTAAGTAGTATTGCTTATAATACTCCTGTAAGTAGTATGCAAGTGTTGTGATTATTGAATTGTGAAGTATAGTACAAAAAGATGGATTTTCCCCCAGTAATTTCGTCATACTTCATGGAAATATTTACTCAAACGTGGTGATTCCAAGGAAGACAATTTTAATGAATATTTGGTTTCCAGAAGATGTAATGGCAGAGATGCTCAAGAATCATCTGTCAAAAACTCTGAAAATCTTTTTTATTGACCAACTTTGGATTGTTTTCTTTAATCAACGCCTGTTTCAATGGGTTTGCAAACAATAAACTACTGTTTATGATCACCTCCAAGTATGTATACCAGTTCACTGCTCTTATGCATATGTTTACATAGACCATGCAAATGCATCTCTGAATACTGTTCTGCATAACTCTCGCTAAAAGAGATTGGAAAGCAATTACTAGCTCGATTCCTGAACCTGGTATTAATTCCAACCATCCTACTCCAGGGGAATCTTCGTTTTATGTCATTTATAAAGTGAAATTAAGCATTTCAAAGAGAGTTTAGACTCGTCATCTGGATATAGAAGAAGCCCTGGCAGTACACCCGTTCAAACCTGATTTGTGCATCCAAGAAAATACATTCAGTCTCCAGTTTTACCTTAGGCATAATTTCCCTAAAGCATTTTATCTTCTTACTCATTTTATGTTGATTTATTCATCTTAATCCTATGAAAAAAGTTAGTGATTTTGGATTGACCTTCTTGATAATATTGAAGTGACCCAGTTGTTGAAATTTCAATTACACATTGTACAGTTTTTGAAAATGATTCGTTGACCGTCGACCAAGAAGTAATTTGACAGGCAACTGCTTTAGCACTATGGAGTGCCACAAGTCTTTATCAGCTTTATTCAACAGCTATATGAAGACGCCATATGCCAAGTGATCCATAATGGAAAGCTCAGTGACGCCTTTGAAGTGAAGACAGGAGTAAGACTAGGCTGCCTACTGTCACCCATGATCTTCCTGATTAAAGGGGAAAGGATCATGCAGCAAACTGTGGTGAGCGAGAAGATGGGCATGCGCTGTTTGACCAATGAAAAGATCCTAGAAGATTTCGATTTCGCCAATCACTTGTGTCTAATATCACACAAACTCGAAGATGTACAGGCAAAAACTAACAAGTTGACAGATGAGACGAGGAAGCGAAGACGGGACTTCAAGTGAACGAAGAGGTGATGACGATACCTGAAGCAAGCCAGCCAACCAGCCTGATCTGGTCGTAATTTTGAATGCAGAGTACTTTTCAGTCTCTCCAGGATGATGTGGCTTAATATTTTGCTTGGGGCGTAACTGACTTTCCATTGTGAATCATTTCGCCTGTAACACCAGCATTATTATTATTATTATTATTATTATTACTAAATAATAGTGCATAATTGCATCAATAACCTGGTGCTGAAAATCCGAAATCAACCACGGAAATTAGTTGCACAATCATCTTTTAGACATTAAAAATAACAAAGAAGGTAAGGAGTTTAACAAGGGTGAAAAATGGTATTGGCAAATGAGAAATGCGAATCGGTTGAGTGTCCACTTGATAGATAGATGTAAAAAAGGTGAAGAATGAGACAAGAATCATAATGAAGGTGTAATAATAAACTTATTATTATTATTATTAGTCCCTTGGGTTCCTAGTGGAACATAGGGCTTCAGTAGAACGTCTCCACTGAACTCTGTTCTCTGAAATCTTTTGAACCTGGTTCTACGACAGCCCACAAGCCCTCATTTCCTCCTCGCACGATCTCCTCCATGTCACCCTCGCCTCAGACGCCCAACTCGTCGCTTCCCATGGGAATTCCACTCGAGCAACTGGCCTGACGCGTGATGTCCCCAGTCGGCTTTCTCAGTGCATGCCCAGTCCATCTCCATTTCATTCCACTGCATATATTTGTTGGGTGATAGGTTCTTGGTTGGTTCGTTCCCAGAGCTCCCTGTTGCTTATTCTTATTATTGTGGCCATCTGATCTTCAGTAACGAGCCAGCGTAGGTGGCAGTTGTTGATGAATATCTGTAGTTTGTTGGAAATACCTTTCGTAACGCGTCAAGTCTCTCAACCATCACATAGAAGCACTGACTCACTTGACTGAATTGGTGTTAAAATCGGGATGTTGTTCACGCTTTGTGCTGAGTTGAGTGGAGAATATCTCCACAGTGGTTTCAAGTTAATGAACACCTGTCTTGCTTTTCCGATTCTGACTTTGACATCCTCGTCTGTGCCTGTGCCACCTGTAGTTGAAACAGTGCTTCCTAGATAGGTGAAGGAGGTTACTTCCTTTAAGTTTCTCCCGTTCATGGTGACTGGAGTTTATTGTTGTTGTTGGAGTTTCTGGTGCGGTATCTTCATCACTTCTGTCTTCTATATATTCACTTGAAGTCCCGTCTTCGCTGCCTAGCTTCTTCTGACAACTTGTTAATTTTCGCCTGTACATCTTCAAGTTTGTGTGACATCAGACACAAGTCATCGGCGAAATCCAAGTCTTCTAGGTTCTTTTCCGTCGTCCAGTGTATCCCTCTCTTCTCGCTCCCCACTGTTTGCTGCATAATCCAGTCCACCACAATCAGGAATATCACGGGTGATAGTAGGCAACCTTGTTTCACTCCTGTCTTCACTTCAAAAGCATCACTGAGCTTCCCATTGTGAATTACTTGGCATGTGGCATTTTCATATAGTTGTTGAGTGATGCGAATAAAGGTTTGCGGTACTCCGTAGTGTTGCAGCAGTTTCCAAATTACCTCTCGGTCGACGCTGTCAAAGACCTTCTCAAAGTCGATGAAGTTGAGGTAAAGAGTTGACTACCATTCTATGCTCTGTTCTTTGATGATGCGAAGCGTTGCAATTATAATGAAATCGAAACAAGATTATGAACGTGTTAAGATTATACATGGTAAGATGAGAGATTGGACATACTTCTTTTGCACACAGAGATCAGGTTTGAACTGATGAATTACCGGGCCTTTCGCTGTGAAAAAACTGTTGAAGGCTTACTTCTTTTGAACTATTCTATATTAAAGGGTTTAAACCATATTTAGTATTTCTGTTTTGTTTGTCATTTGACTATCTAAGATACCAGCCGTAGTTTAGCAGACTAATATTTGTACTGGATGGTAGTCAGTTGGTAGAGTATTGGGACAGAAACTCATTGGTCACAGGTCCGAATCCGGTCGTAGTCAAGAATTTTCATTTCAACTTCAATCAGTATTATCATTATTATTTATCCCTTGGGTTCCTAATGGAACATAAAGTTTCAGTAGCATGTCTCTAGTGCACTCAGATCTCTGCAAACTTTTGAACCCGGCTTCATGACAGCCAACAAGCTCTCATTTGCTCCTCGCACTATCTCCTCAATGTCACCCTCGGACGTACAACTCGTCGCTTCCCATGGGGATTCCACTCGAACAACTGGCCTGACGCGTGATGTTTCTAGTCGGCCTTCTCAGTGTATACCCAATCCATCTCCACTTCCTTCCAATGCATATTTGTTGGATGATAGGTTCTTGCTTTGTTGGTTCGTTGCCAGCCACAGTGAATTCCTTGTTGCTTATTCTTATTATTGTGGCCATCTGATATTCAGTATCGGGTGAGCGTAGGCGGCAGCTGTTGATGAATATCTGTAGTTTGTTGGAAATCCCTTTCGTAACGCGCCAAGTCTCTGAGTCATACAGAAGCACTGACTTGACTGAATTGGTGTTGAAAATCCCGATCTTGTTGACGCTTTATAGTGAATTGAGTGCAGAATATCTCCACACTTGTTTCCGGTTAATGAACGCCTGTCTTGCTGTGTGCTCAGATCCCGGCTGACTTTGACATCCTCGTTTGTGCCGCCGCTTGCTGCCTAGTTGATAGTTGAAAAAAGCTACTTCCTTTAAGTTTCTCCCATTGATTCAATCATCATCCACCCACATTATTTTCATTTTACTAGATAAAGATCAAATGAACCAGGATAAAGATATAAGTAATCATGATTTTCTTCTAAATGGAACATTAAACACAGAATTAAAATCATTGATGAACAATATCATAACTACAATAATGATTATAGAATAAAAAGAAGACGATTTATATTCAGTCGACGTCGAACACATTCAACGATTAATATCTTTAAAGCAGTACTATGGTTAAGATGTCAAAGAAGTCGTATGGTACAGACAACTGTAAGTTAATCAGTAAATTTTATATTATCTCTCTTTTTCAAGGAACAATATATATTCATATATGAATGTTTGGCATATTTTATAAAGCAATTGAAAAGACAGGGTAAGTTATAATTCTGAATTGTTATATCCTTTCCTTTTCTTCTTCGGTCATTCTAGATGGAACCTATGAAAATATTTAATATATATATATGGTTGAAATGAATACTTCTTGATACTTTCAAGACATCTTCTTAGTATTGATTTATTCAGTCATGGAAGACTATGAATCGATTGTATGACTCTAAGCGAAAAGTAGACAGTTCTACCTTTTCCATCTCTTGATATATTTCCATTTAACTCATTATTGTATAAACTTTTGATTATAGAAAGCATTGTATTCTATCTAAATAAATCTCTAAACGAAAATTATAATATCAATAGGATATGTATGATATAACTATTTTGATATGATACAGGATAACTGATGATTTCTATAAAGTAATATGTTGTTTTTTAAACACTCTATGGTTTTTATATTTTAATTGGAGAAATATTGGAAATCTTGAATTACTGGGCAATTTTTTCATCTGTAATCTATAAGAATTTGAAATGTGTTAGATTCGGTGTTGATTCAATGAACAAAGATTCAGTAATCAATCCCCCTCTATCTCCACCTAAGTATAGTGGCTTTATCCCACCATGCATGCATAGCAATAGCCGACTGTTTTTTTTCTAGATTATCGGTCTTATTTAAGTCTGTTATTCTATATTTAGATAAATTTCTATGTTTAGCTATTCTAACTGACCCCGACCGACTAGTTTCACCTATATACTTGACCTGACTCAGAGTCATTACACTAGTGATACTATTGACGAAGAAGTAGATAAACTACAGAAGATCCTCATGCAAAATGGATATCCATCCAGATTTATCGATAAGAACTTGAAAGTAGATCAGAATACGGAGCGAATACTCGCAGTTCCTAAGAAGACCTTATTTATGAACGTTGTTTTCAAAGGCTATACGGCAGCAGAGATCCTGAAGAACTGGCTATCCAGATCACTGAAGAAGACATTCTTCTCTGCAAAACTGCAGATCAGCTTCTCTAGTCAACAACTCATTCCGGAGTGCGTTAAGGACAAGTTGCCACACTTTAGGCCACCTCGATGTGTGTCTACAAATTTACTTGTTCCTGTGGAGCTAGTTATATAGGCCGCACAAAGCGCACGCTTTCCAAACGTATCTCGACGCACTATCCTGCATGGTTGTCGAGGGAAGAATGTAAATCAATTAACAGTTCAGTTCTTGAACATTTGGTCAACTCTGGACATAAAGTTAGACCAGAATCCTCTTTCAGTGTCATTTATCGTGTCAGATGGAATAGTTCAAAAGGAGTACGCCTTCGACAGTTGTACACAGCGGAGGCACTGGCAATTTCCCAATTCAAGCCTGATCTCTGTGTGCAAAAGAAGTATGTTCAATCTCTCATCTTACCATGGTCTTAACACTCACTTCTTTTTTTTCCAATCTCATTATAATTACTTAGTTTATTATTATCACCTTCATTATGACCATTGTCTTATTCTTCACCTTCTTCACATCCATCTATCTATCAAGTGGACACTCAATATTTGCGTTTCTTATCTACCAACAATTTTCACCTTGTCAAACTCCTTGCCATCCTCTATATTTCTACTGTCATAGATCATTACGTAACTACCTTGCATTCTTGATTCGGCTTTTCGTAGCATTTGGTTAGTGATGCTATTATACCCTATTGTTTTATAATAGACTGTTATATGTTTATGATATATACCTGAATACGATTGTACAGCTATAGAAAATGATATGGTCGAAAAAGAAAATTTTCTTCGCTGAATTATCTCTTCTTTATTACATGGAAGTTGATTGATTATATTATTTCGCTTAATTGATTCTACCGGATCCTTAATCCAGTCGAAAAATTGTATCTCTGAGTAAGTTTGTAGGTTTAAATGCCACCGTAATTCTAGCTCTGTTGAGTATTCCGCGTAAAGTTTCTGAGGTACCCTCCTTATAGGGTAATACAATGGAGGCTATGAACTCCTTTTTACTTGTGTTGTCGTTATTAGTCGGACTCATGTGACTGTTATTCTTCATTTTTTGTGTGTCCGTAAGAATTTCTAAACAATAAGTGAGAAAGTATTAACTATCAGCTCTTCTTTTACGTGCTTCAGTTACTTGTTTAGGTCTGCAGACTGATTAGTTAGTTTTCTAGCTTTATCGTTTAGACATTTAACCAAACCTGCCTTAACTGACATTGGATGAAATGAAGTCGGTTTTCTGTAGACAAAAGTATCTAAACCACTATCTTGAAATAGTAGAGAATATTTGTAGCTCAGGTGGATGGTCTTGATTGCATTGTGTTCGCTGAGCTGGATTGTTTAATTGTGAAGCTCTAATTGTCCTTCTAGAAGACATCAGAAGCACTAACTTCAGTAATGAAGTGGGCGGTCAATATCTCTCCATGTCTCTCCGAACATCATCTACAAAATCAACTTCATTAACTGCAGTCAACACTACATTGGCTATTAAACGTCATAATCTCGCATGGTTAACTAGTTCACCAGTTACTAACCGGTTCTAAGCCCGGAAAAATAGTGAACGTTGGACATAGGGCTAACAACCCTACCCCAGAAAACCAATCCAATCGCTGAACAAACTTCAAAGCACAAGGAAAATATAAAGCGTAAAATTAAACTTATTCCTCACTGGAATCGCAGAGGTGAAACGACGCCGGTTGGTGAAAGCCTTCGGGAATCCAACCGGCCGATGTATCTTCTCTTCGCTCGATGAAGTCGAAAGTAAGCACAGGGAATGTCCGAACAATGTTTGAAACTGGCTGGCAAGGCTGCTCAGATTGCAAAAGAGATGAGAAGGTATGGTATAGAAGTGTTAGGCTGGAAATCTGCAGATGGAATGGAAGTAAACTCTCCAAACTGTCAGCTGGAGAGTCAATAATCTACTTCGATATTGTCACCCAGATGACAACTACGAGCACAGCACACTGAGTTTTTGGGTGGCTATCATGATGTCCCCTTCAAGAGCATCGAGGGCTCACCCTCATGCAGTGGGAACTAATCTTTTCCTGTAGGATCATGACAACAAGATTCCACTCAAGAGGAAGGAATGAAGGAAAGCCACAATCATACAATGGTACGCTACACTATCCGCCTACAAATAATGCAGATGAAGAGAATAGGAAGGACTTCTACAGACAACTGAAATCAGTATTAGACAAGACCCCACCCTACCGCAGATGATAATATCAAAATCCTAATGGGTGGAGTGACATGAATGCCAAACTGGTAGGAAACAACATACTAAGAGGACCAATCATGGGTCAATAAGCACTCGGTGAAATGATGAGCAAGAATGGAGAACTGTTTGCAGACTTCTGCGCATTCACCTATTTGGTGACTGATTGTACAAACACAAGGATTTTCAAGAAGCGACATGGATTTGATTTCACCAGATGGACGCAGTACACTAAAAATCAGATCGACTTGACCTCAATCTGAATAAAGTGGAGACGCAGTCAGCCTACTGGACACAAGATCAAAAAGGGGAGCAGATGAAGACGGTTCACACCACTCACTGTCTAGTGCAAGGAACCTGCCTTCCAAATCAAATTGGAAGCCTTCAAAGTAGTCAGTGATAGGCCGCAGTTCGAGTTCATCACCCAGAACAGGAAAGGAACTGAAGGGCAAAACTGCAAAGGACATCCTCACCTCAGTCAGTCATCAGGACGAAGTGGGAGACATTAGGCAACATTGCTAAAGGAACCTGTGTGGAAGAACACTGCAAGTCTTTGAAAGAGATGTGGAAGAAAACTTGCATAACCGTGTTGAGAATGAAGAAGTAGGACAAGGAATGGATCTTGACGGATACATGGAAGGTGATAGAGGAGGGAGAGGAAGATGGCGATGGTGAAGAAGAAGGAGAAGAAGAACGAGTGCAGTTCAATGCAGTGGGGTGAAGTGAAGTGGAGGGATGAACAACGAAGAGAGGAAGTGAATACAAACTGTAAAACACTGGGAAGAGAAGTGGAGTGCACGGAAAGACGTAAGCTACTTCTGTGATACACTGACAAGTGAAGCAGAACAGGCTGATGGTAAGAGAAATCTGACAACATCATATCAAATAACCAGGTGACTATCTGGGAACAGATCAACACAGATGAAAACAATCAGAGATAATGATGGTAACCTAGTTACCAAAGAGAAGAAACAAATGAGATAGTGAGCTGAGCACTTCAGAAAACTCTCGAATTCACCACCACCACCGCCACCACATCATGCTGGAGAGCCTGCAAAATGCTCTGTGATCAAAATGACAACGGGAACAAGCTTGCTGGCTGGCTGGCTGGCTGGCTGGCTTTAGGAAGAACAAATCATGTACGGATCAAATAGCAAGGCTACGCTAAACATCATCATAGAACACAGAACAGAATGCCAGTCAAATCAACTCAACCTCAACTCCATCGATTTTATAAGGGCATTTGACAGTCGACCGAGAGGTAATTTGACAAACAGCTGCCTCAAAACCACGGTTTTAGTGACACAAACCTTTATCAACCTCATTCAGCAGCTGCTGTATTCCATATGAGGATGCTACATGTCATGTGATGGACAGTGGAAGGCTCAATAACGCCATTGAAATGAAGACAGGAAGGAGTAAGACGATGTTGCCGCCTACTGTTGTTGATAATCCTCTTGATTGTGGTCGACTAGATTATGCAATAATCTGTGAGGAGGGGAAGATTAGCGTACGCATGACCGATGAGAAGACCTTAGAAGATTTGAATTTCGCCCATAGTGATTTATGTCTAATGTCGCACAAACTCGAAGATCTATAGGTGAAAACTAACA